CTTGTTATCCCTTTCCAGCAGGATTTAGAACCGTTAACAACAACTCTCTGACTACGGTTATCCAGCCAATTATGCACCCACCTTATCGTGGCCCTATCTAAGTTATATTTGCCTAGTTTATCAATAAGAATATCATGCGAGACCGTATCAAATGCCTTACTAAAGTCTAGGTATATGACATCCACCGCTTCTCCCTTATCCACAAGGCTCGTTATCCTATCAAAGAAAGCTATTAGATTAGTTTGGCATGACTTGGTCTTCACAAACCCATGCTGGCTATTCCCTATCACTTTATTACCTTCCAAGTGTTTGCATAGGATTTCCTTAATTACCTGCTCCATTATCTTCCCTGGGACAGACGTTAAACTGACCGGTCTATAGTTTCCTGGGTTGTTCTTATTCCCCTTTTTATAGATGGGCACAATATTTGCCCTTTTCCAGTCTTCTGGAATCTCCCCTGTCTGCCATGATTTTTCAAAGATCATAGCTAAAGGCTCAGATACCTCCTCTATCAGCTCCTTGAGTATCCTGGGATGCATTTCATTAGGACCTGGTGACTTGCTGACATCTAACTTTCCTAAGTGACTTTTAACTTGTTCTTTGTGTATCCTATCTTCTAAACCTACCCTCTCTCTGCTTGTATTCACTACGTTAGGCACACCTCCAGACTTCTCGGTGAAGACCGAAACAAAGAAGTCATTGAGCATCTCCGCCATTTCCAAGTTTCCTGTTACTGCTTCTCCCTCCTCACTAAGCAGTGGGCCTACCCTGTCCTTGGTCTTCCTCTTGCTTTTAATGTATTTATAAAAAGTCTTCTTGTTTCCCTTTATGCCTGTAGCTAGTTTGATCTCATTTTGTGCCTTTGCCTTTCTAATCTTGCCCCTGCATTCCCGTGTTGCTTGCCTATATTCATCCTTTGTTAGTTGTCCTAGTTTCCATTTTTTATATGACTCCTTTTTTATTTTGAGATCGTGCAAGATCTCCTTGTTAAGCCAAGCTGGTCTTTTGCCATATTTTCTATCTTTCCTACACAGCGGAATTGTTTGCTTTTGGGCCCTTAACAACGTCCCTTTGAAATACTTCCAACTCTCCTCAGTTGTTTTTCCCTTCAGTCTTGCTTCCCATGGGACCTTACCTACAAGTTCTCTGAGCTTATCAAAATCTGCCTTCCTGAAATCCATTACCTCAATTGTGCTGGTCTCCCTTCTACCTTTCCTTAAGATCATGAACTCTATTATTTCGTGATCACTGTCCCCTATACTGTCTTCCACTTTCAAGTTCTCAACTAGTTCCTCCCTATTTGTTAAAACCAAATCCAGAACAGCTTCTCCTCTGGTAGCTTTTTCAACCTTCTGAAACAGAAAGTTGTCTCCAATGCAGTCCAGAAACTTATTGGATAGCCTGTGCCTCGCTGTGTTAGTTTCCCAACCTATGTCTGGATAGTTGAAGTCCCCCCTCACCACCAAATCTTGGGCTTTGGATAGTTTCTTGGGCTTTGGATAGTTACATGATACATGCATACAAAGAGAATAATCATATTCAGCAAGTGACCTTTCCAATGACATTTTACATGATTTATCTTGCATAAAATACTTCAGAACTATGTTATAATCTCACTGTGAAGCATATGGGGTGCAGTGCCACACATATAATGAGATGTGGATATGGGCAAGGGTAGGGCTGCACTGAAACAACTTTCTAAAGAGAAAACAACTGTATAAAATAATCCTGCAAACATACAAGTAACTGTGTATATGGGTAATCCCATGCAACTCAGCGGGATTACCCAAGTAAATGTCTGCAGAAGACAGGGTCTAAGATGGTGGACAGTAGCTAGTAGCTAGCTTTTCTATTTCTGCTTTTTCTGTTTTCCTGAGGTTGGTCAGCCATAATAGCCAAGACATCCAGTAAATGCCTGTGAAAGATCTTCAGAATTAGTTGGAAAGAGTTTCTTTCAACATCAGAAATTGTAAGGAGAGGAAATCTTAAAGCATCAGTAAGAAGTCAATGGACCTATTTAGGACACATTTTAAGAATGCCATAGCAAGTGATAATAGGTTGCCAGTGCTCCCGCTAATTATTTCCATCCATGAGTGAAATAAATGTTATGTGCACTGAGGCATGTGTGGATGTGCATCACCAACAGAAACACATGCTGGCAACTATGAGTGCTCTGGGTAGCACCTGAATTAGGGATGTAAAGGACTAGTCAACTAGTCACTCCCCTCCTCCCCCGCTGTCTCTATCAAATAGAGGCACGGGGAGGGGGGAATGAGGGTACTTCAAAGTGACAGCACCATGCAGAACCTGGGGTCAGCTGAGGAGTCCCCAGCTGATCCCAGACTCCATGCAGCACTGCCACTTTGAAATGCCATATGGAGGCTGGGATCCCATTTGACCCTGGGCTCCTTGTGGCATTTCAAAGTGCAGAAATGCTCCAATGGGGCTCTTGTACATTTCAAAGTAGGAATGCAGAAGTGCCTATCGACTAGTAAATTAATCAATATTTAAGATCTTTAACCTGAATCTCTCCTGGGTGGCTGCCCAAGCATACAGCTTACAGAAAACGCTGGTCACTACCTGAAAAAAGACAAAGTAGGTGACCTACAGTAACATTATGCAGCACAACACAGAAAGAAGCCAAATCCATCAATAAGACAATCAGAAGCCTTACAGATACTATAGGACTAAAATAAATGGTGGAAATTGTTGGTTGTCCTATGAACCAGCAGGTGCAGGAGCATAAAGAAAGAAGAAGATGACCTTCTGGAACTAGTATAAAGCCAGAGTAATTGGCTTTTGTGCCAATTTCCTGCACAATATAAGAGTGGGAGAAAATCCAACCCTCAACCTATGGTCAGGCTATTGGGCTGCAGTCCAGGCTAAGTAGCAGTGACAGAGAAGCAATCATATGACATTTTAAAAGCTCATATGACATTTCTATTTCAAGGTGCTGCTGCATCTTCAGAATATTCTTGATCTGATTTTTCTGATGAAAAATCTTGTATAAATCCTATTTTACTGACAGATTGGCATGGCTCAACAAACAAATTTATTCCTCTATTTCCAACTGCAGTAGTGTCTAGATTTTTGCTTGCCTTATCACATCCCTGAGACATCACTGATTTGCTGCCAGTCTGTTTCCCAGATCTGCCACAAGTAATGCTTTTGTTCTCGGTGGAAATGATGCTCTACTGTCCCATTAAGTTAGAGACCTAGGTTAGGGATGTGGAAGGTTCTCTGTTACTTGAAACCTTGAAAGCAAGTCTGGTCATCTGTTTAAAAGATGTTACAGCTCTAACAGAATTATGAGCTTTCTGCAGAAATTGTTAGGTGAGATTTTTAGATGATGACATTGGTGCCTACTGGCCCTAAAATCTATGAATTACACCCATTTTTCATATCTAGTGGAACTGAGAGGTAAGCAGAGGCACTGATGACCACCTGTGACTTTTGGTCCAAATGCAATATTTTTTATGTTGTAGGACTACACACAAAACAAATCTTTATTTTTCCAAGTACTGTATATGAAGGCAAAGGAAAAAGTTATGTTTTCTATAGCACCCTATAGGAAAGAGAGGAAATCTTGCATTGTATCCTTTTTCCTTTTCCTGCAGATTGCTTAAGTTAACTGTACATTCTTTGGGGGTATTGCCTTGGGTTCTTATGTCTGTAAAGCACAGCACAGTTTGGTGTGGTATATAAATGATAATATTATGTTTTGTTCAGGCTTATCTATCAGCTGATATTATTTTCCTGATTGGCTCTAGTAAATATTTGCCTCTCCTGTTACAAAAATACTAGATGGTGACTTAATAAAAATATCAACATAAAAATCCCTACAGAATTGGAGACCTTAGAGGCTCTAGTTATATTATCCTGGAGTAGATGTTTCTGATATCCTTTTCAATAGCTGAGTTAATTCACCTAGCAGCCTCAAGTGTTCTGTGGGTCCCTAAGATGATGCAAGTGTAGTGGTGAGGTAAAGGAAATCTTGCACCAAAGCAACATAGAAAAATATATTATAGAATGAATGCAGCTCAAGAAAGGGGAAAAATATTTAAGTCATCCTATCTCTTTTGTGCCACATTGTAAGGGCTGCAAGAAGGGTGGGGCAAGTGGGTTGCTAGTCCTGGGCATATCATAATTAAGAGCGCAAAGATGCAATAAGAAAAAATAATAAGCTGCAAAAGTGAAGAGTGAGACACGTGCTAACCTAAGGAAAGGGGGCACATAATTACAGGCAACCCCCGACTGATGACCACCTGACTTACGACCCCTCTGCATTTACAACCTTTTTTTCATGCAGGATAGCTCCTAAAACCCCGCAATTTACGTCCGCAGCTTGCATTTATGACAGTGTACAATACATACTCTGCGCATCATCCCAAAAACAGGAATTGCATAAGGTCAGTCAGACTCTCCAGTTAGCAGCCGCTGCTTGAACTGCGTGTGCATCTCCATCACATCGGTCTTCGCTTTTTCGTTATTTTTGTGCATTATTTGAACTATTTAGTGTCATTTTCCTCCATTTCTGTCATCAGTTTTGGCATTTGTAGGGTATGAAATGGGTTTCCAGGAACGGAAACACCATTTATAACATTGTGCCTATGGGAAATAAGGGTTTGACTTATGATGGTTTTCCAGGAACCAATTAGGTCCTAAAGGTGGGGGTCACCCATAATATTTTGCCCTGGGTGCAAAAATACCTAGTTATGGCACTGCAGGTTGTTTTCTGGCCCTCACCTCCACTTGCTTTTGTATCTGCTGCAGGTCTTGAAAGTCTGATGTTATTAAATAGGCATGGGGATGAATGATTTAATTTGTCCTGCAAGTGCCTCACCTGGCCTCCTGGCAGCACTGTGCTTAAACCTCCCAGAGGTCACGTTCAGAGAGATTGTGTGTGTGTTGGGGGGGAATTTGCAACAGGCAACACAAAGATCGGGGGGAGAGGCTGGTGGGGGAAGGGAAGCTTTAGCCCCTACATGAACTCTTGCGCTGGGGCTGCACAAAGGCAGACGCTAAGTTGAATTCACCCACGCCCCTCCCGCGCCACCACTCTCCCCGCACCATCCTCATAGGCGTCTCTCCATTCGTGTGGGCGGCACTTTCTCCCGGCACTTGAAATATACTTGTTGCAGCGCCTTGTCTCTGCCGCCCTCCCCCCCCAGCCACCACTTCCTCCTGCATTCGGCATTTCGGGCTGCTCTAAGGGGGCTCTCTTCTGATTCCGGCAAGAAAGCCGCCGGGCGGGCAGTTAGCGGGGTGAGTACCTGCCCGGCTCCCGGAGCCGCGGGGGGCAGCAAGCCGGGGAGGAGGGGAAGGGACTGACTGCACGCGGTCGTTGGGGAACTGGGCGCCCGCCCGCGGGGCAGGGGCTGAGAGAGGCGGGCTGGGGTCTCTGCTCCCCCGGGGTTGGGCGGGAGGAGCCCGCGCGGCAGTAAGGACCCTGCGGGATCCATGCGACACGCCACTGCACAAGGTGGGTGCGGGGTGGCCCCACCCTAGGGAAGTGCCTGGCTCCCGCTCAGTCGAAGCGCCAGGGAGGCCAAATGCCTCTGCCCTCCCGCCCCGGCCAGTGGCAGGCCCCGGGAGGGCTGGGGGAGAGGGACTGCGGGGCAGATCCAGTCCACAGCGTTGGCTCTTTCCAGAAGAGAGCAAAGGAGTGTCTCCCGCGCGCTGGGCGCTCCGGGGCTCTACCTTAGGCTCCGCTGCTGCATTGGGTTCTCAAACCATCCCCCCTCCCCCCGCCCCCGGGCCTGGCGCAAGCTCCTTTGTTGCATTTTATTGCGTGTCTGGGACATGCTGCTTTGCTGGGCAGGAGACAAGCGCGGTTTGTTGTTAATTATGCATAGAGGGACTATGGAGTAGAGAGGGATGGAGGCAACAGGAAGGAAAAGCGCACGGGATGAAGCGCGGCTAGAGGCTATCAAAACTTGATGTACCGTGACCCTGTGCTACTCCAGGAGAGGCCCCATGACCAAATAGGGTGTGTAAGATCAGGAAGGAAGTTAGTCATGCCCCACATACAGATCTTTTATTTACTGTGCACTAAGTTACTACAAAGGAATGTGCTTAAACACACACAGGGTCCAAATGCAGGGGTTTGTTTAAAACTAAATTGACAAATTTGCAAAACGATCAGAGTTCTCTTCCTCTGACCTCCCAAGTCTCACTCAGTTTCTGTTCTGCAATGTGATTTGTCCTTTTCATATTTGTTCTTTTTTTTAATTGTATCCTTTGGTATATATGGTTGTGACTACTTTCTTCCACTATTTGATCTGAGGAAGTGGGTCTGGCCCACGAAAGCTCATCATCTAATAAACCATCTTGTTAGTCTTTAAAGTGCTACATTGTCCTGCATTTTGCTTCAACTACCCCAGACTAACACGGCTACATTTCTATCACTATTCAGTTGAAGTGAGTTTGTAGCAATTGTTTGAAGCGTCTCTTTTGAGGAAGAGCTTTTTCTTCTTGTGTTTCAATAAGCCATTAACAACATTACCTGAAATCTCTCCCTATGCAAGTTGTCAGATCTGAACAGCTTTGGGTGCAAAGGTCAGCAGACAGGCTGGTCAGCAAAAAAGAAATAGTTGTATTGCATTCTCATGCATTACGCCTTCTTTGAAAAGTTTGCTCAAAAGGATAGCCTCTTGAAATGGACATCTTATACTCTAACCCTGTAACAGACTCTTCTAGCAGAGTCCCTTGCTCTGATGTAGAGTCATGGGCTGTCAGTAATGTGGGCAAGGGAAGGCAGAGCCTTCCCAAAATTGCCTGCACAACTGACTAGTTGTATTGCATTCTCATGCATTACGCCTTCTTTGAAAAGTTTGCTCAAAAGGATAGCCTCTTGAAATGGACATCTTATACTCTAACCCTGTAACAGACTCTTCTAGCAGAGTCCCTTGCTCTGATGTAGAGTCATGGGCTGTCAGTAATGTGGGCAAGGGAAGGCAGAGCCTTCCCAAAATTGCCTGCACAACTGAC